CCCATCATTGTAAACACCTCCATCATTGTACACCCCTCCATCACTGTACACCCCCATCACTGTACACCCTCCATCACTGTACACTTCTCCATCATTGTACACCCCTCCATCACTGTAAACACCTCCATAATTGCACACCCCTCCATCACTGTACACTTCTCCATCATTGTACACCCCTCCATCTCTGTACACCCCTTCATAATTCCACACCCCTCCATCACTGTACACTTTTCCATCATTGTAACACCATTCCATCATTGTACACCCCTCCATCACTGTACACCCCTCCATCATTGTACACCCCTCCATCACTGTACACCCCTCCATCATTGTACACCCCTTCATCATTGTACACCCCTCCATCACTGTACACCCCTCCATCATTGTACACCCTCCATCATTGTACACCCCTCCATCATTATACACCCCTCCATCACTGTACACCCCTCCATCACTGTACACCCCTCCATCATTGTACACCCCTCAATCATTGTACACCCTCCATCACTGTACACCCCTCCATCACTCTACATACCTCCATCATTACACACCCCTCCATCACTGTACACCTCTACATCAATATACACTCCTCCATCATTGTACACACCATTCCATCACTGTACACGGCTCCATCACTGTACACGGCTCCATCATTATACACCCCTCCATCACTGTACACCCTCCATCACTGTACACTTCTCCATCATTGTACACCCCTCCATCGCTGTACACCCCTTCATAATTGCACATCCCTCCATCACTGTACAGTCCTCCACCATTGTACACCCCTCCACCATTGTACACCCCTCCATCACTGTACACCCCTCCATCACTGTACACCCCTCCATCACTGTACACCCCTCCATCATTGTACACCCCTCCATCACTGTACACCCCTCCACCATTGTACACCCCTCCACCACTGTACACCCCTCCATCACTGTACACCCCTCCATCATTGTACACATACAGGGGATTGATCAGCACAGATATCAATACATGGTTGCATTACTGGGTGTACACATAAAAAGGCAAAGTGCAGTAACCCATAGCAACTGCCACTCCTGGTTGTGGTGGGAAATGGGCTGCTGCACTTTTATAGATAAGCTAAGCAAGTTGCAGATCGATGTGGAATCGCACTACGCCCGATGTGGGCACAGCTCTCCTACCTTTGTCGCCCAGGATGCCATCGATGCTGTGTTTGGTCTTCTTGTCTCCATCCTCTTCCTTCTTATCGCAGTCATCATCTTCCTCTTTTTTCCCGAACTTTATTCTCAGGACCCGGCTAATCGAGCTCACTAAACCTCAGAAATGAAAAGATACCAAAGGAAATATAAATAGGGGGTATGGGAGCACTGACATCTACCAAGACTGACTACCATCACTGGGGTACACAGGGAGCACTGACATCTAGCAACACTGACTACCATCACTGGGGTACACAGGGAGCACTGACATCTACCAACAATGACTACCATCACTGGGGTACACAGGGAGCACTGACATCTACCAACACTGACTACCATCATTGGGGTACACAGGGACCACTGACATCTACCAACACTGACTGCCATCACTGGGGTACACAGGGACCACTGACATCTACCAACACTGACTACCATAATTGGGGTACACAGGGAGCACTGACATCTACCAACACTGACTACCATCACTGAGGTACACATGGAGCACTGGCATCTACCAACACTGAATGCCATCACTGGGGCACACAGGGAGCACTGACATCTACCAACACTGACTACCATCACTGGGGTACACAGGGAGCACTGACATCTACCAACAATGACTACCATCACTGGGGTACACAGGGAGCACTGACATCTACCAACACTGACTACCATCATTGGGGTACACAGGGACCACTGACATCTACCAACACTGACTGCCATCACTGGGGTACACAGGGACCACTGACATCTACCAACAACTGACTACCATAATTGGGGTACACAGGGAGCACTGACATCTACCAACACTGACTACCATCACTGAGGTACACATGGAGCACTGACACTGACATCTACCAACACTGAATGCCATCACTGGGGCACACAGGGAGCACTGACATCTACCAACACTGACTACCATCACTGGGGTACACAGGGAGCACTGACATCTACCAACACTGACTACCATCACTGGGGTACACAGGGAGCACTGACATCTAACACTGACTACATCACTGGGGTACACAGGGAGCACTGACATCTACCAACCAACAGACTACCATCAGTGGGGTACACAGGGAGCACTGACATCTACCAACACTGACTGCCATCACTGGGGTACACAGGGAACACTGACAACTACTAACACAGACTACCATCACTGGGGTACACAGGGAGCACTGACATCTACCAACACTGACTACCATCACTGGTGTACACAGGGAGCACTGACATCTAACACTGACTACCATCATTGAGGTACACAGGGAGCACTGACATCTACCAACACAGACTACCATCACTGGGGTACACAGGGAGCACTGACATCTACCAACACTGACTACCATCATTGGGGTACACAGGGAGCACTGACATCTAACACTGACTACCATCATTAGGGTACACAGGGAGCACTGACATCTAAACACTGACTACTATCACTGGGGTACACAGGGAGCACTGACATCTAACACTGACTACCATCACTGGGGTACACAGGGAGCACTGACATCTAACACTGACTACCATCACTGGGGTTACACACTGACATCTAACACTGACTGCCATCACTGGGGTACACAGGTAGCACTGACATCTAACACTGGCTACCATCATTGGGGTACACAGGGAGCACTGACATCTACCAACACTGACTACTATCACTGGGGTACACAGGGAGCACTGACATCTAACACTGACTACCATCATTGGGGTACACAGGGAGCACTGACATCTAACACTGAATACTATCACTGGGGCACACAGGGAGCACTGACATCTACCAACACTGACTACCATCATTGGGGAACACAGGGAGCACTGACATCTAACACTGACTACCATCATTGGGGTACAGAGGGAGCACTGACATCTACCAACACTGATACTATCACTGGGGTACACAGGGAGCACTGACATCTAACACTGACTACCATCATTGGGGTACACAGGGAGCACTGACATCTAACACTGACTACCATCATTGGGGTACACAGGGAGCACTGACATCTAACACTGACTACCATCATTGGGGTACACAGGGAGCACTGACATCTAACACTGACTGCCATCATTGGGGTACACAGGGAGCACTGACATCTAACAGTGACTACCATCACTGGGGTACACAGGAATGTGAATATTTCCTGCCTAGTACTTCTCACTATCAGGTTCTAACCAATGAACAGCCAGTTCCTGCCCACTGTGCACAGAGTAGCCCCGCCCATGCGGTGTGTCCCCTGCGCTCACCTGAGGGCACAGAGCTGCGGTCACAGTGGCCGTCCTTCAGCAGCCGGTCCCGGATCTCCCAGCTGAACATTCCGGGGTTCTCCCGCTTGTATTCCTCGATCTTCTTCTCCACGTCGGGAGTGGCCACCTGCTTTAATGTGAAAAGACAGGCATGTCATTATGGGGGGTACAAGGACAGGACAGGCATGTCATTATGGGGGGTACAAGGACGGGACAGGCATGTCATTATGGGGGGTACAAGGACAGGACAGGCATGTCATTATGGGGGGTACAAGGACGGGGCAGGCATGTCATTATGGGGGGTACAAGGACGGGACAGGCATGTCAATATGGGGGGTACAAGGACGGGACAGGCATGTCATTATGGGGGGTACAAGGACGGGACAGGCATGTCATTATGGGGGGTACAAGGACGGGACAGGCATGTCATTATGGGGGGTACAAGGACGGGACAGGCATGTCATTATGGGGGGTACAAGGACGGGACAGGCATGTCATTATGGGGGGTACAAGGACGGGACAGGCATGTCATTATGGGGGGTACAAGGAGAGGACAGGCATGTCATTATGGGGGGTACAAGGACGGGACAGGCATGTCATTATGGGGGGTACAAGGACGGGACAGGCATGTCATTATGGGGGGTACAAGGACGGGACAGGCATGTCATTATGGGGGGTACAAGGACAGGACAGGCATGTCAGTATGGGGGGTACAAGGACAGGACAGACATGTCAGTATGGGGGGTACAAGGACAGGACAGGCATGTCATTATGGGGGGTACAAGGACGGGACAGGCATGTCAGTATGGGGGGGTTGTACAAGGAGAGGACTGGCATGTCAGTATGGGGGGTACAAGGACAGGACAGGCATGTCAGTATGGGGGGTACAAGGACAGGACCCCTACATCATGGTATGGATGGAGGAGAGGCAGGACAACAAGGGTTCAATTCCAGCACTGTGGGGAGGGGGGGGCACCATTCCTCCCAATCACCCCAATTCAGTGAACAGATCTATCATACAATCCTATCTACACTGTGTGTGCTGTACTCTGTAAGATGGGGGGTCAATCCCAGCACTGAGAGGTCCCCATTCATCATCCCAGAAATCCCAGCCCAGTGCTGGACCCTCTCAGCATTTTTTGTATGCTTTCTATAATATATATATAATACTACACCATTCTATTCTACATTATACTTAATTATATTCTTTTACATTCTATATTATACTATACATACTATTATATACCATACTAGTCTATTCTGTACCATGTATATTCTATTCTATTCTATTCTATTCCAGCATTTTGAGTTCTGTTCGGTATTTCTTGGTATCCCAGTCCTTTGTTGCCCCCAATGGACAGGTAATATGGTCTGATGTGTATGGGTGCCCCCTCCCCCCCTCTTGGCCGAAGCTCTTACACTCACCCTGGGCTTGCTGCCCCCGATGGCCCCGGGCCGGATGGATCCGGTCTCCTGGTAGCGGCAGAGGATTTTGGAGACACAGCCATGGGAGACCCTCAGCTGGCGGGAGATGACGCACGGTCGGATGCCATGGTGGGCCATCTCTACGATCTTATGTCGGATGTGGTTGGGCAGAGGTCGGCCGTTGATGAAGACTCCACCGAGCTGGTTCACGCGACCCTGCCCCAGAGGAGTGGACACTGCGGGGGCACAGGAGGGGCACAGGGGTTAGTTAGGGGCCCCACAGACAATGCTATACTCAAAATAAATAAATAAATACATTATATGTATATATATATATATATATATATATATATATATATATATATATATATATTATTATTGTTTTTTTTTATTTTTTTAGTTATTTATTTATATAAGTTATGTATAATTTGACCAACTAGAAACTCTATACTTAGAAAATACAACAGAACAAGAATATCAGGAGTTAAAGAAATTAAAAACTGCAACATGGTATTATTATTATTATTATTTTATTTTTTATAAAATTTACTAATTATATATTATCATTATTATTTTAATTTTAAAATTTATATAAAAAAAAATTTAATTTCCTAAACAAAAAAATTGTATTTATAGAGAAGTAAATGGCTTCCATCTACTTTCCTGAGGAATACGATTAGTGAGGAATATGAATGAGACCCATTAGAAGAGAGCCCCCCCCCCCCACCACCACCCACCATGATCCTTCTCTGTATAGGGAGGGGTAAAAACTTTTAATTTTATCTGTATATTCCATGGTCCCAGCAATGTTCCCATTCCTTCTCTGGGTGATATCGGTGCACACTGGGAACATATAAAGTGTATCTGAAGCCCATATGATTTGTTTTTCTAGATTTGGAATTTATTTTAGGGGTCGGACACCCCCCCCCCTTTTTTTTATGCCACCTGTCTCCCCACTGGGGGACTTCACCCTCTCTCACTGTCCTGGACACCACAGGGACTGAAGTGATAGGAACACCAACATTTTCAGTTGTCACAGGAACAGGAGCGAGAATAGTTTTCTCTGGGGGGGGGGGTCCATTTAAAATAACTTTACTCTCACTTCCTGTTGTGTCTCCATTGCAGGAAATAAATTGAAATCTGTAGAATGGGCCACAGATGACAGCAACAAAATTAAACTGACAGGAGTATGACCCCTGCCTACCCCATGCAGGATGAAATACACATTTTGGCTTCAGATATTCTTTAGCAGCACTCGGAGTCCAATGGTGAGGACTCTGCAGGGACTCGTACAGACATTTCACATCTACATGAACGTGCTGAAGATGAATACAGACGTCTGTAGACGCAAATGTGGCCAAAGGCTCGATCCGCAAACACAGCACACCGGGATAGGGATCATTCATTGAAAATAAACATTTCTTTTTCCTTGTTGAGTCCAAAAAAGATTTATAATTTACAGTCAGGTGACAGAAAATGAAGATATGAGATCCCACTTCTTGTGTAAAGCTGAGGGGATTGAGCCTTATATATTATTAACGACTATTTATATGGAGAAACTTTCTAAAGAGACTATAGATAATATAAATAATTATATGATTAGTGACTATCGATATTATCAATATTACTATCAATCACTAAAGATCTTCTAAGTAAACTATACAGAAATGTATCAATGATTATAGGTTTTATCAATGACTGTATTCTAAGAGACTAGATACGATAAATAATGAGTGACTATAGATATGATCAATATTACTATCAATCACTAAAGATCTTCTAAGTAACTATATAGAAATGTATCAATGATTATAGATTTTATCAATGAATTCTAAGAGAGATATGATAAGTAATTAAATGATTAATGACTATCGATATTCCAAGTAATTATAACTATTATCAATACCTATAGCTATCCTACGTAAACTATATATTAAATTGTATCAATGATTATAGATTTTATCAATGACTATATTCTAAGACGCTATATATATAGATATGATAAGTAATTAAATGATTAGTGACTATCGATATGATAACATTAACATCAATCACTAAAACTCTCCTAAGTAACTATATAGAAATGTATCAATGATTATAGATTTTATCAATGAAATCTAAAGAGACTATATATAGATATGATAAGTAATTATAACTATTATCAATACCTATAGCTATCCTAAGTAAATATACAGAAATGTATCAATGATTATAGATTTTATCAATGACTATATTCTAAGAGACTATATATAGATACGATAAATGATTAGTGACTATCGATATTATAAATATTAGTATCAATCATTAAAACTCTCCTAAATATCAGAAATGTATCAATGATTATAGATTGTATCAATTAATTCTAAGATAAGCAATTATATGATTAGTGACTATCGATATTATAAAAATGAAAATCAATCACTAAAAAACTCACCTAAGTAACAATACAGAAATGTATCGATGATTATAGAGTTTATCAATGACTATCTAAGAGACTATATAGATATGATAAATGATTAGTGACTATCAATAGTCCAAGTAATTATAACTATTATCAATACCTATAGCTGTCCTAAGTAACTATACAGAAATGTATCAATGATTATACATGTTATCCGTGACGAAATATTTCCTGAGTGACTATATAGGTAACATAAGTAACTCTCTATATTATTATCAGGGATTATGGAGCTTCTAAAGTATTTATAAATACATTATTTACAAATTAATATAATCTAGTAATCTAATCATGACTATCCGGATAGTAATAGTAAGCAGTGACAGATATCAGTGACTGCATCGACTAATCGTATCGGTGAACTTGCAACAACACAAATAAGTACTGTCTGTGATACTTTGTGAGCAAATAATACAAAATAATAAAATAATACTTTGTGAGCAAATAATAAAATAATACTTGAAAGTGAGCAAATAATAAAACAAAATAATAAAATAATACTTTGTGAGCAAATAATAAAAAAATAATAACAATACTTTGTGAGCAAATAATAAAATAATACTTTGTGAGCAAATAATACAAAATAATAAAATAATACTTTGTAAAAATAATAAAAAAAATAAAAAAATACTTTGTGAGCAAATAATAAAATAAAATAAATAAAATAATACTGTGAGCAAAATAATAAAATAATACTTTGTGAGCAAATAATAAAACAAAATAATAAAATAATACTTTGTGAGCAAATAATAAAATAATACTTTGTGAGCAAAATAATAAAAAATAATAAAATAATACTTTGTGAGCAAATAATAAAACAAAATAATAAAATAATACTTTTGTGAGCAAATAATAATAATACTTTGTGAGCAAATAATAAAAACAAAATAAAATAATACTTCGTGAGCAAATAATAAAACATATAAAAAAGTATAAAAATACTTTTGTGAGCAAATAATAAAAAAAATAATAAAATAATACTTTGTGAGCAAATAATAAAAAAAATAAAAGAATAAAAATACTTTGTGAGCAAATAATAAAAAATAATAAAATAATACTTTTTGTGAGCAAATAATAAAAAAAAATAATAAAATAATACTTTGTGAGCAAATAATAAAAAATTATAAAAGAATAAAATACTTTGTGAGCAAATAATAAAAAATAATAAAATAATACTTTGTGAGCAAATAATAAAAAAGAATAAAAGAATAAAATACTTTGTGAGCAAATAATAAAAAAGAATAAAAAATAATAATACTTTGTGAGCAAATAATAAAAAAATAATAAAATAATAAATAAAAAAATATTACGGTTAGCACTCAATTTCTAAGTATTTTTTACAGATGTTTTAAGTAACTAGAGATATTATCAGTGACTATAGGGATATGAAGAGCAACTATTCTTACGGTGATCTCAGTTATATCGGTGCCGTTCAGTCCTGTCTGTGATACTTCCATGTAAATGTTGTGCAAATGAGAAAGTATCATGGACAGAACTCAACGTATAGTTATAAAAGATATTATAAGGGACGATTGGATATTGTAAGTAATTGTACATAAGTGACTAAATATATCAACAGTGACTATATCGATATTGCAAATACTTATAAATATTATAGGTGACTATATATACATTGTAACTATTATAGGTGACTATATCGATATTGCAAATAATTGTATATGTTATAAGTGACTGTATATTACCATGATTATATGGATATTGTAAATAATTATAAATATTATAGGCGACTATATAGATATTGTACATAAGTGACTAAATATATTATCAGTGGCTATATAGATATTATAATTGTATAAATATACGCACTGTGGTTACCATATATAATCGTACATATTATTCGTGACTTTACAGATATTGTACGTAATTATAGATATTAGAGAGTGACTATAGGAATGATGGATGACGTGTATATATATATATATATATATATATATATATATATATTATATATATATTATATATATGCGCTATAGATAATGCAGGTAATTCTCAGTAAGATAGTATAAGTGTGTCTGTAGATGGTAGAAATGTCTGTTCGGTAGGTGTAGTTGTTATAAGTGTTTGTTGTGTAATCATAGTTGTTCGTCAGTAAATATATATAGTAGTGTCTGTTCGGTCATATATATATATATATATATATGTCTGTTCGGTCAGTATATATATATAATATAGTATATATATATATATATGGTGGAAGTGTCTGTTCGGTCGGTCAGTATATATATATATATATATATGTGAAGTGTCTGTTCGGTCAGTATATATATATATATATATGGTGGAAGTGTCTGTTCGGTCGGTATATATATAAATAAGGTAGAAATGATTGGGTTGTTATAGATGGTAGAAGTGTCTGTTCGGTCAGTATATATTTACGGTGGAAGTGTCTGTTCGGTAGGTATAATTAGTAGAAGTGCCTGTTCATTAGGTATAGATGTTATAAGTGTCTGTTCGGTGGATATAAGTGTCAGTTTGGTAAGTATAAAATGGTAGAAGTGTCGGTTAGGTAGGTGTATAGATGGTAGAAGTGTCAGGTGGATAAGTATTATAAGTGTCGGTTGGTAGTAGGGTAGAAGTATTGGATAAGATGTGTCGTTGGGTAGATAGTGGTAGAAGTGTCAGTTGGATAAGTATTATAAGTGTCGGTTGGGTAGGTATA